TGCCGGGGTGTCTGTCCTGTCTGGGGGCTCAGTGGTGTTGGGAGAGTCTGCCATCGTTTACCCCGTTTCCTCAGAGCAGCTCCTCAGGAGGCTGCAGCCACTAAGCCTGAACCTGGCTCCACTCCTGCCTCCGGCACCTCGGGCAGGTGAGCGGTCACCATGGCCTCTGACAGCAGCCAGGCCTCTCTTCCCTGCACCTCGCGGCGAGGGGCTCAAGTCCCACCGTGAGGTCAGGGCCAGCCCTCCTGTGGCGCCTGCCCCCAGTCCCCGGTCCCTGCCTCCTGCCTCCCCGGTCACCCTGCCCAGCGTGTCCTCCACACCCTCACCGGGGGCTTCTCTAAGGCGGGAGCACCTGGCCGCGCCTCCCACCAGAGCAGTGAGGCCGGAGTAGGAGCCGTGTCAGAAGGTCACCTCCCGAGGAGGGACCGGGGAGAGATCTGTTCCGTCGAGCTTCCGCTCTGATGTGCTGGGCGCCTCCCAGTGTCCGCCAGCCATTGTCATGTTCACATCCCTCCTGGAAGCCAGTCCATTGTTCTGGAGACTTCAGAAGCTGGGGAGGGGCGATAAGCTGGCCGGGGACCCAGCCCACAGCCCCCGTGGGTGATGCGAATCCAATGGGGGGAGCGGACAGGCAATGGCGGACCCTCCCCGGGCGGGCCTCGTCGGCACTCTCCGGGGCCAGGAGGTGCACGCACGGCTCTCAGCCCACCTCCAGGCTGAGGAAGGCCTGTCCCCGGGGCACGGGGCAGGCCTGTCCCCGGGGCAGGGGGCAGGCCGCCGATCTCCGCAGACCAGTCGCAGACCAGTCCGAGAAGAAATGAGACAGACACCCCCAGCCAGGGGCCGGGCCTCAGCTGGAATGTGACAATTTATTTGGGGAGCGAGAAGCTTGCCCCCCTTCCTGGCATCGATACAATATCAAAGAGCAGCAGAACAAAACGTACAAGACGAGTATCAGCACGAACCCCCCCTCCCCGACCCAGAAACAACGGAATCCGAACAGAAACCCACACCCGAACCAGGCTGCCTTCTCCCGCAGCCTCTGGGCGGGGGCGGGGGGCCGGGACCCCACGCAGGGGCCTGCCGACGCCCCGCCTCCTCTCTAACCGCCGGAGGCAAAGTTTAGCCAGCTGGGAGCTGGATGGTTGAACCACAGACGAAGGCAACACCACTTCATTTTTAAAATGAGAAAGAGAAAAGAGTGCCCTCCCCAAATATAGAGCTATATACGTATACTTTATATATATAGAATTCATCCGTGCACAACTCCTTAAATGAGCTTTTCAAAAATTAAAAAAAAATTAAAAGATACATTTCTTTAGGCCTTTGTGTTCTTAAATTAAAACCGAAAGTCTCCATCTCCGCTCTGGCCAAAGCCAGGGCGGCCCCAGGACCCTTCCTTCTACGCTGGCCTCTTGTGAGGGTCCCCCATTGCACCGTCAGCCCCTTTGCCCAGCGGGAGCATTGCACACAGTAGGGCGCCCTCAGTGGAGTGAGGCGCTGACTCCTTGGGGGAGGGGGGGCACCTGCAGGCCTGGGGGGTGGGGTTCTCAGTCCCCATCCAGCTGCCCCATCTGGCATCCTGGTGACTGCCAGCAAGCTGGGAACCTCTCCTGCAGTTTGAGGCTGTGATTCTGGGCTTTCTGAATCTGAGAGGAGATGCAGATAAAAAACAAAAACCTCTAAACACTTTCCTTTCTTTAAAAGTGATTCCTAAACCGTAGGCGCCCCAAGGGCTGCCGTGGGCTAGTGCATCGTGGGGAGCTGACAGGGGGCTCCGCTCGGTGGGCCAAGTGCAAAACCAATCAATTCCTAAGCCACAACGCCCCGAAGGCGGGAGGCAGGGTGCTTGCCTGGTTCCAGGGCCAGGAAGGCTGATGGCAGCCCCCCCCCCCCCCCCGCCAGGACCCCGGGCTCAGGGGCAGCCTGCTGGCTCTCTGGTGGCTCCAGGGCCCAGCAAGTAAAGGGGCTTTACAAATGCCAGGGGCATCTCTGCCTCTAGGAGCCGTTTCCATAAATGGGATGATCCCTCCAACCCTGCCCAGTGCCCGGCGAGGCTGGGGCGTGGTCGTCCTCTCCAGAGCAGAAAAAGGATGGAACTCATGTGACCCTGACCCCTTGTAGGGTGAGAAGAGGGGCTGTGGGAGGCAACCTCAACCACCCCTTACCTAATCCTCAGCCGCTGCCTGGCCACCCGCAGCTCCCCAGAGGCCTTGCTCCCACACACCCATTTACCAGATGGGCAAATGAGGGTCAGAGAGGGGATCACAGGACGGTCCCAACTTCCTATCTCAAACCAGAGACACCAAACCTCACCCGTTTCCTATGACATGGGGGGAGGAAGGTGTGGCATTAAGGGGACACGACCGATGCCCCAACCAATACTTGAACGTGGGAGCTCAGCCGTGGGCTATCTCACATGGAAAAATAAAGCAAACCAGGCTGCAGCCTCTGTAACCAGGCAAGTGGGAAAGCAGCAAGGCGGGAGGGCCCTGGGGACTGAGCCGTGCGGGACTGTGGGTGCTTCCAGGCCGGCTCCCACCACCTGGGAGAGGAAAGGGCCGTTTGCTCCTGACGCCGCCCGCGCAGGCCACCAGGGAGCTGCCAGCCAGAGCAGCTGCACGCGTGCCTCTGCCAGGCCAGGGGCCAGGCAGCAACCCATCACCAGTGGACAGAGAAGGGGTACCTATTCCCTTCTCTCCATGGTAGCCCCAACCCCTGAGGGGCGCCACCTACGTCTCCCGCCTCCCAGAGTGCTCAGCTCCCGTCTCCCTGAAGCGTGTCCCCTCCCTGGCCAGGGAAGTGCAGGGGGGCCTGGTCTTTGGGTGATGGCGAGACGTCCCCAGGGGGCGGTGGTAGGGACCAGATGGCCCAACAAGCGAAGGACAGAGGAGAGCAAGCAACCCACCCGCCTGTTCACCAGCCTTCCTGGAGGAATCACCAACGCTGTCTCCACATCTCAGCTCCGTGTGCTGGGCCCCTGCAGCTTGGAACCAGCCGTCACCCTTTCCCTGGAGGGTCAGGCCCGGGTCTGGGCTTGGGCGGAGGGCTCACCCAGCCCCACCCCACGGCCGCCCTCCGTTCCTGCCCTCCATTGCCACCTCACCTGTGCAATCACTGCGTTACCAGTTTTCCTTAAATCTTTCTCCCCTCCCTCCCCAACCCCATAGGAATCCCACAATAGTTTTTTCTATTTCTTTTTTTTTTCCTCTTTTTTGTTTTTTGCAAAACTAATTCTTTCACTTTCCTGTCATAAAATCACCTCTGAAAACACAACTTCTTTACAAAAAGTCACGAATGACACAGACTTTCAGGAAAACACATTTCTATGGTCTCGGAGACACCTGGAACTGACGCCAGGTGGTCGCTCACCTGGGGTGAGGGGTCGGGGGTCACCTCCGAGGACAGAGGAGAAACCAGCCCTTATTTGGGGGGCAGCCCATTGGCACTTGGACAGCCACCGAGCCAACACCAAGGGCCGGTGGGAGGGTCCGGGAGTGCCAGCCCCCCAAACCCTCCAAGGCCCTCACTCTGCACCCTGGGGTGGGGGGGTCAGAGGCCTGGCTGCAGCCCCTGGTGGATGAGAATCCTCCCACCCTTCCTGTTCCCCAATCGGATTCCCTTTCTGCCTCCTCCTACTGTCTGCCATCCTGCTCTGAGTGGACACCTGTCACCCATGTACCAGGGCTACCCCGAGCCTCTGGCAGGGCACAAGGCTGCCCCTTGTGCCAACCGTGACAGCCAGTGGCCCAGGCTGCCTCCCCAGCGCACCAGACCCTGGCCCCACTTCGGCCTGCCTGTCCTCCCAGTTCTGGATCAGAAAGGGGCTTTGGTCTCTGCCACTGGCACGGATGCCTCAGCTCCTGGCAGCAGGGGGAGCGCTGCCCGGGCACAGGCGGCCCCGCTGCTTCGAGAGGCTGCGCTGAGACAGCCTCCGCGGTCAGAAGCAGGCGAGGGGGGCGAGGAGCTGGAGACCCGAACTCAGTGCCCGGCCTCCCCCTCCCCCACAGCACCCAGGAGGAAGGGGATGCTCGGACGGGTCTCCCTTCACCACTTCAGGCCCCACCGAGCCGTGTGCGCAGCCAGAGGCTGGCCTGTCAGGCTGACACCCCAAGGGAGACGGCCGTGAGGACGCACGCCCAGCACACAGGCCGGGAGGTAGGCCTGGCAGCCCCCACAGGCCCAGCCGACGGCAGGGGAAGGTCCAGGCCTTGGGCGGCCCCGTTCTGAGGAACCCTGGGGTGCCGCCCGTAAGCTGGACCAGGGCCGGTGCACACACGGCAGCACACGCACAGCAAGTGGTTGTACACGCACACACGCGCAGGGCTGGAAGTGTCCGCGGCAGGTTCTGGTAGCACCTTTGGTCGTGAACTGAGGGGCCCTTAGCTGCTGGGAGGCTGACAGGTGAGGTCCTGCCAGCTCCCCACCTGCCAGTCAGGGGCCAAAAGGAGCGCTCGAGTCTCCTCCAGAAGTGGGCAGATCCGTGCTCTGAGCACTGTCACCCTCATTGGGCTCCTTAACCTGGCTGGGCTCTGCCATCCTTGCCCCTCTGCCCTGGCACCTGGAGGAAGGAAAGGAAGGGTGCCCATGCTGGGAGGGGGTCTCCTAAGGGCCCCTCGGCTGCCGGGTAGCACCGAGAAATCAGATGCCGTGCGTGCGCGAGCTGGAAGCAAGCTGGGGAGACGGGACAGGACTGGAGGCGGCAGCTGAACCCCGGGTTCTGGGACTCCCTAGGAGTCGCCCAGTGGGCACCCCTGTGCATGGGGAGAGAGGGTGCCGAATGACAAGAGGACTTACCAGTGCCTCTGCCCAACTCCAGCCCTAATCTGGTTCAGGTCGGACCCCCACTGGGCTTGAGGGGTTCCAACTGCCCATCCCATCCCGGGGTAACACTGAGCCTCTGGAAACAAGCAAAGCACAGGCAGGTGTCTGAGGGGGGTGGGAGCAAGTGCGACCTTCGGCAGGAGGCCCCCCCAAAGCCTCCTCCTGGCTGGAGCCCCTCACTTGCTCAGCCCGCCGCTGCCGCCCCCACCGGCAGAGCCTGCCACCCCGGCGGCCACCTTCTCGAAATCCTCGGGGTTGCAGAACTCCTTGATGGTGACGGTCAGGAGGTTGCTGGTGACGTCAGTGACGACCACGTTGGAGCAGGGCGACATCTCGGGGCGCCAGTCCCCGGCCTCCGGCTCGGCGGCGCCCGCGGGCTCGGGGGCGGGGGCCGGCTCCTGGCCCGCACACGGAGGGGCGCTGGGGGGGGCCCGCTTGCCGGCGGCTGCCGCCTCGGGAGAGATGGACAGGTCGAGCACCTCGGGCTCGTGCCAGTCGGGGGCAGATGGGCTCACGGTCTCGGGGAGCAGTTTGGGGGGCGCGTCGTCGGGGTCGGAGGAGGACTGTGGTGCGGGCGAGGGGCATCCGGAGGAGCTGGAGCTGCGGGCATCGTAGGAGGCGGCGGGGGCCGCCAGGAGCAGCCCCGGGGCGGGGGCGGCCGGGTCGGCCTTGCCGGGCGGGGCGGGCAGGGCGCCGGGCGCGGGCGGCTTGTACAGCGCCAGGGCGCCCAGCTTCATGTGGCGGATCTGCGTGCGCAGGATGCTCTCGCTGAACTTCTTGCTCTTGCCGATGACGCGGTTCCGGGAGGGCACTTTGGGGCGGGCCAGGTTGCCGGCCCCCTGCCCGGCGCCCCCCCCGCCGGCGCCCTTGTCGATGACCTTCAGGTTCAGGATGATGCGGTTCCGCTTGGGCTCCCGCGGCTTCACCTTGCGGTTGATGATGCGCACGGTCTCGGAGAAGGGCGAGATGGGCGGGCGCAGGCCCGGGCTGCCGCCCTGGGGGTCCGGGCGGGGCAGCGGCCGGCGGGACATGCGGTGGCAGCGGCGGATGTCCTTCTTGAGCCGGTGCACGGCGGCGCTGGAGTGCAGCTTGGGCGAGGAGGCGCTGGCGCTCGGCTTGACGGGGAAGTGCACATCGCTGATGCGGAGGGCCTCGGCCTGGGCCCGCGCCTGTGGGCACAGGGCGGGGTGGTGCGGGCTCAGCTTCCTGCTGCCCCCTCTGGACACCCCTGCACCAGCCGCTCCCACAAATGGCTCATGAGACCACCTGGGCATCAGGACATCAGTCTGCTCCTGACCCACCTGAGATACAAGGAGACTCACAGGGGAGCAAGTGCCTGCGATTCCGGGGCAGATCGGACCCAGTGCAGCCCCGGCTGAGACTGCACCAGCCGGGCAAGCTCAGCTAGGGCCGGCCTGGGCCTGCCCTTGCTGACAGGAGCGTCAGACTTGGGACACCGCAGAGAACAGCCTTTTGCTCGGAAGCCCTGGACCAGCCCAGCTCTGTGAAGGAGCCCGGCCTGGCCTGGCCTGGCCCTTCTCCGCACACCAATTCCTGGGGACAGAAAGGAGGGAGGTCCCTCCCTGCTTCACTCTGCACCCCAGCCCTCGTGATCTATTTGCAGGGTCCCAAACTCCCCACGGCCCCTCTCTGCCTCTGAACAGGCTGCAGCCAGCTTGGACTAGCCGCCCAGCTGATCACTGTCTGGGACAGACCACGTCAGTCTCTGCACGAACATGGCAGCTGAGCAGTCTGTGGGCAGCCAGCCACTGCACCCCCGGTGTGAAACCTGTTCTTCCCCAGGCTCCGCAGAGCTCACCTGCTACATCGTGGGACACCTGGGCGTGGCAGGGTCCCCTGACCCCCTGCGTTCAGAGCAAAGGACTCACAAGGCCTATCAGCTGCCCCCGTGGCCCGTCTAGCCTTCCTTCACTGGGGAGCTGAGAGGCCGGGCAGCCGCTGGGGCACTAGGAACACAGCCTCCCCCAGGGGGCTGGCTCCTCGGGGAAGACAAGGTGCAGGCAGCTAGGCTGCAAGTGTGGGCCCTGACAGACAGACAGGGGCCAGGTCCTGGAGGGCGAGGCCCTTATCCTTCAAGTCTGACTGGGCCCAGTGGTTACAAGGCCCCAGAGGCTGCTGAGGGGACGCCGTGAGACAGTGGAGGCAGAGAGGCCAAGGGACAGCAATGGCTGCGCAGAGGGGAGAGGTGGCTGACTGGTCTGCATCCTACAGGCACCTAGTTCCTGGTGGGGCAGGGGGCTCTTTCAGGGGCACACCCCAGCTCCAGTGGGACAGGGACTTTGGGGGTAACTGCATTCACCCGGGTGGGAGATGGTGGCGGCCAAGAAAAGGCCACATTTTCAGGGTCTGAGCTCCCTGGGAGCGGGATCCCTTCACTTCACCCCATACCACCCCTGGATGCTTAACCAGTACCTGGAGGTAGCCTGCACCGCCCTTACACAAGACTATCTGACCACAACCCCCAGAGCAGGTGTTTTCTGACTCACTTGCTGACTAAGTAAAGCAGCTTTTCATGAAAATGTGGGCGTACACTTCAATGCCAGGCCCTCCCAGACATAGATGATTTCAGCCTCTAGGTGGCAGCACGCGGAGCTTGGCCTGCCCTGCCAGGGCTTCCAGAAACTTGCTCCCAGGCGGTACCTGGTTCCCTTCTAGGCTTTTCCAAAGGCAGGGGAAGGCAGGTGGGGCCTTTTGCAGGTTCGACCCCGCTGGCGCTTAGGGGACCCTGGTTCTGCCTGCTCCCCCAGTTCCCTCTGATGGCCTGAGCCGTTGGACCCCTGTAACAATGGTTCTCACAGAGTCCAGCAGAGATGGACAGCCTCTGGGGAGCGGCTAAGAGTGTGGGCAAATATCGGCTCCAGGATGAACTCCCAGCTCAGGGGGCCCCTGGGTCTCTTTCCCTATCTGTGCAGTCAGAGCAGGGCCCACCACAGCGGCTCCTGTGGCCTCTCTCACGTTACCTGCTTAGCAGTGTGGCATGCAGCTAGCAATCAATACTAACTTATCTATGCTGATGGGCAGTAAGGTTTTTCCAAGGTATGGTGCCTAAACTTTCTGTGAGAAACGTTTCTTCTCTTGTAATTCCTAAATACAGGATGGGGCAAAAGTGGGCTTAGAGTTGTGACTAATATGAAAGTTTTCATTTCTGTATTATTTTCCATATGAACAACTGTAAATCTACTTTCACCCCACCAAGTACAATTTTCTTTTTTAAAAATGGCAACCACAGCCAACGCCCCGGGTTGATAGTATTCTGACCCGGTGGCAGGCATGGCTCGGAGGAGGCCCTCTCGCCTGTTTTTTAAGTGTGAGCGGGGATAATGTAATCTACTTTCCGGGCTCCTGTTCCCTTCAAAACAGTTCCCAGCGGAAGGTGCAGGCTTACTGTGCACATTGCCTCTCGGTGAGTCACAGGGCACTGGGTTCAGATCAAGCTGATCTCTCCCACCCAGGCAAGGCCTCTCACCTGCTTCTGCACCCCCTGTCCCTTCATGGTTTCCCGCGTGTGCTTCCCACCTTGCCCCTTCCTCGATGTGTACTTTCTGAAGGACAGGGTGAAGTTATGAAGTTGAGTGATGGGATCTCAGGTATTCCCCTGCATGGGCCTTGACTTTCTCGTCTGTGAAATGGAGATAATACTCCCCACTTCATAGAGTGTTGAGAGAATAATCCATATGGGGACTCAGCATTGCATTAGGCCCATAGCCAGCTCAGGAACTAAAACTATTAAAAAAAAAAAAAAAAAAAAAAAAAAAAAAAAAAGGCATTTTGTGAATCAATATTTTAGTCATTCCTCGCTTCGCCGCTAGAGGGTGCTCCAGCAGCGCTGAGAGGCGTCACACCAGCCCTCTAGCTGCTCTGCACAATTGCTCCTAAGAAGCATCAAGGGTTAAGGCTGCTTCATGAACCCCCTGAGACATGTGTAGATCAGGGGCCCAGGGTTACAGAAACATGTCATGCTGGAAACCAACATTTCCTTCACTTCTGCTTTAACCCTGAAGCAAGTCCCTAAACAAGTCCTACTGGGTGGGGAGGCGAGGCTGGGCTGGGAGCCTTTCGGATAGATGGGCGATTCTGAGCTTCTGCACCCTGCACAGCCTCTTCTCTGCAGAGTCCTCACTGCCCTCTCTGTACCAATCGCCACGAAGGCGCAGGCTGTCGGGGTGGGAAGGGGCCCTGGGACAAGCTTGGCGCTAACACGGAGACTGTCACTTACAGCCTTGCCTGGTGCCATCTTGCCTTCCCCTTTCCAGACTCTGTTCTTTCTCACCAACAAATGACATAAAATAAAATATCCCCGAACTAAGATGGCTTCCTCGGGAGCTAGGTCTCCCTCCCCTGCCAAGGCTCACAGGCTCTGCTTTCCCTGCCCTCCTCTCAGTCCTCGTTAGGGCCTCTGGAAACAGCCAGAGGCAGGAAGGAACGGAGGCTCAGGGCCCCGAAGCCAGCAGCCCGGCCTGGGTGATGAACTCAAAGTGAAGTGTCTTGAGGTCAAATTCAAGCGGAATCCCTCCGTGAGGGAGGAGGGAAGGCATGCAGAACGAATCCTGGGAGCGAGGGAAGTTGGGGCCAGGTGGCCGCCCAGTGCCTCTCCCTGCTCCCTGCCATGGAGGGAGCCCACATCCATTCCCCCCCTGGGGTCTCATTCCAGGCGGATCACAACGGGATGGCTCAGGGCTGGGGAAGAGGGAGGCTCCCAGGTGCAGAAGCCACCTCCCTGCCACCCCCTTCCCGGCGCCCTGCTGGCCTCCCCAAACCCTGATGTTGCCAGCGAGGATGACCCTCCTCGGGGCTCCCCACTTCCACACCCTCTCGCTGAAGCCAGAGCAGGCCGGGGCTGCTGCCAGGGGCTCACAGCCACCCCCCTGCCCGGCTGGGGCCGCCTGGAGAGGCCCGCCCGCCTGGAGGCCGCCGCCCCCTCCCTCCCTCCCGGCCTCCCCCCCTCGCAGGCCCCGCGCCGCGCCGCGCCGCGCCGCCGGCGCTGGAGGCCCGAGCAGGGGCCGCTGGGGCCGGGCCAGGTTACCTTCAGGAGGAAAGTTTTGGGCTTGGGTCCCCTCTTCTTGGGCCCGTACAGCTCACGCTCCCTCTCCCTGCGGCGGAGAAACGCGGAAGGTTAAGAAAGAGCCCCTTCCCCGGGCCCCCGCGGCGCTGCCCGGCCGGCTCCCCGCGCCCCCGCGCGGCGCCCCGGCCTCCCGAACTCACTTCTGCTCGAAGGCGGCGATGAGCCTCGCGTCCAGGATGTTCTCCTCGGGCTCCCAGGTGCTGTACCTGCCGGGCGCACAGGCGGGGCGTGCCCCTGGGGACCGAGGCCGCGGCACCGGCCAGGGCGCAAACGTGGGCGCCGCCCCCGCCCCCCGCCCGTCCCCCCGGAAAAAGGGCCCGGCGCCCCCGGCCTCCCCTCCCCCGGTCCCCGCACCCCGCGGCACTCACTTGATGGCCCACCCCTTCCATTTCACCAGGTACTCGATGCGCCCCTGAAACAGAGGGGGGGGGGGTAAGAAAAAGGGGGGGAGTGGGGGTGGGGAGGATGCGGGCCCCCGCGGAGGCGCCGGCGTGGGGGTGGGCGCGGAGCCCGGGCGAGCGGGACCGCAGCGCCGCGAGGCCCCCGCGGGCCGGCCAGCGGCGGGGGGACGCGGCGTCCCGCCCGAGGGAGGCGGCTCACCTTCCTGATCCGCCGCTTGATGATGGATTCGGCCGCGAAGACCCGCTCGCCCACGGCAGACAGCTCCATCTTGCTCCGCGGCGGCGCCCACAGCCCATAATACTCCCGGCTCCCGCGGCCGGTGCGGCACCGCTCGCTCGCGCACGCGCCGCAGCAGCGCGCAGGCCCCGGCGCGCGCCCGCGCTCCAGCTGCGCGCCGTCACGTGACCGCTCGCCGGGGGCGGGCGCGCCGTTGCCAGGACGTCCCCCTCCCCCGGGGCCGTTGCTATGGAAAGTGGGAGCACGCGGGGCGGGGGCGCGCGCCGGCTCTTAAAGGGGCCTCGCCGGCCCTCGGGGAGCCCCGGCGCGGAGGGAGGCGGGGGGATGCTGGCTGGGCTTGTGGGGAGCTGGGCTTTGGCAGTCTTTGCATCTCCCACTCCCCTCGCCATCTTCCCGGCCCCGGGGAGCTGACAACGCCTCCCTCCTCTGGACCCTACTCCCCCCGATGCGGGTCTCCGCGGGCCCCGAACAAACGGGGGCGGGCGGCCGAGGCTGCAGCCGCGGCGCATCCTCGCGGCACCGGTTTGCAAACGGTTAAATGTGATGCAGCAGAAATGCAGTTGCTGCTGCCGTGCCAGGCCCTGCGGGGTTTTCTTTAAAGCATTGCCGTCCCCCGCACTCCCCCCCCCCCCACGCACACACCTTATCCATTATGTATGCGTCCGTGGGAGTGTGGTTTTGTAAACGGCTCCGGTGAATTAAAACAAACATGCCGCTGCAGGGAAGGGGCGGGGCGGGTGGACCAGGCCCAGGGCGGCCGGCCGGGTGGTCCCGGGCCTCCGTCCGCCGCAGGCCCAGGTCCCGGACGGCACCTGCCTCGCCCGTCCGGCCGGTGGAGACCGCGGGAGGGCGATGTGGCGCCCGGGGAGGGCAAAGAGGGCTCCCACCCCCCACACTGAGCCCCAAGCAGGCCATCCGCGGAAGGTTCGGTGGAAAGCACCCTGCTGACCATGTCTCCGTGTTTCCTGATGCCCAGGCCCCCGGGACGCGCCATTCTCCCTCCCCCCGCAGTTTTCCTACCGATCCCGCCGGGCGGGACTCAGGGGGCCCAGCTTCCCACTCGGGGCTGAGAGACCTGGGTGCCCGGGAGGAGACTCGGAGTAGTCTCGCCACGCAAAAGCTCCGTTTCTTTTATTTTGAATGATTTAAACTTTATTCCATCAGCAGTCTTGTTCTTTGTAAATTAAAATAAAATAAGAAAAAATAAAAAGCAGCTGTCCCTAATCTCCGTCAAAATGTGTTCCCATCTTCGCGCATCTTCTTCTGGCCTCTGTTCTATGCCCGCATACACACACGTATACGTTTGACTTCGTTCTTTTTAACAAAACCACCCTGTCTGGCATCTGCTTCCCTCCCTAAATGTTATCTCTAAATGCAGATGTCACCAGCGCCTCGGTGGCTGAGAGGGGGCTGAGATGGAGGTGGGAGGGATGAGGAAGTGGTGAGGATCAGGGCTGCCTCTGGCTGCCATTGCTTGTTTATCAGAGAAGATGGTTTTTACATTTCTGTGATGCAACACCAGTTCTTGTGATTTTTCAAATCAGCCATGTTAAAATGTCCGTTTCTTGTCCCCGCACCTCTGCGGATGTGTCCGATTATCACCTTGGAAGAGATTACCCTCCCCCTGAATATCAACACGGTGTGGATCGTACCGTCCCATTTTGTTAAAAAGAACGAAGTTAAATATATACGTGTTTATGCGGGCATAGAACAGAGGCCAGAAGAAGACTCGTGAAATAGCTGTTTGCTGGGCAGCTTCATGTGGGCTCGGGTGTAAGATCAGAGTGCCCTCCTGGAGGTGGGAGGGGGAGTGGTCAGATGAGCTGTGTAGGGGTGTGTGTGTGTGTGTGTGTGTGTGTGTGTGTAGCTGTGTGTGTAGCTGTATGTGTGTAGCTGTGTATGTAGCTGTGTGTGTGTAGCTCTGTGTGTGTGTGTAGCTGTGTGGGTGTGTAGCTGTGTGTGTGTAGCTGGGTGTGTGTAGCTATGTGTGTAGCTGTGTGTGTGTAGCTGTGTGTGTGTGTAGCTGTGTGTAACTGTGTGTGTGTAGCTGTGTGTGTGTGTGTGTGTGGCTGTGTGTGTGTAGCTATGTGTGTAGCTGTGTGTGTGTAGCTGTGTGTGTGTAGCTGTGTGTAACTGTGTGTGTGTAGCTCTGTGTGTGTATGTAGCTGTGTGTGTGTAGCTCTGTGAGTGTGTGGCTGTGTGTAGCTGTGTGTGTATAGCTGTGTGTGTAGCTGTGTATGTAGCTGTGTGTGTAGCTGTGTGTGTGTGTGTAGCTGTGTGGGTAGCTGTGTGTGTAGCTGTGTGTGTGTGTGTAGCTGTGTGTGTGTAGCGGTGTGTAGCTGTGTGTGTGTGTAGCTGTGTGTGTGTGTGTGTGTGTGTAGCTGTGTGTGTGTTTTCAGGCTTGGGGTGGGGGGTGGAGACAGGCAGCTGAATGAAGTGGATGAGCATTAACCCACTGGGTAGTTCATTCAGCGGCGTTTGTGAGCCCCTGTGAAGGCTCTGTGCTAAGTCTTCAGAAACAGAGCTGCCCGGGCTTGGTGCTGGAATAAAGGTGCATTAAATCCCCACAATGACTGTAACACATCGCCACACATTCAGTGGCTTAACACAGCACAAACGTGTCACCTTACAGAAGTCCCACGTCAGAGTCACTGTGCTGACGTCAAGCTACCCGAGGGCTGGGTCCTTCCGGAAGCTCTAAGGCAGCAGTTCTCAACCTTCCTAATGCCAAGACCCTTTAATCCAGCTCCTCGTGTGGAGGTGACCCCCAACCATAACATTATTTTCCTTGCTACTTCATAACTGCAATTTTGCTACTGTTAGTGAATCGTAATGTACATATCTGTGTTTTCTGATGGTCTTAGGCGACCCTGCTAGCAGTTCTCAACCTGTGGGTCGCAACTAAGTAGAGCCTAAGACCATCGGAAAACACAGATGTCTACATTATGATTCATTAACGGTAGCAAAATGACAGTTATGAAGTAGCAACGAAAATAATGTTATAGTTGGGGGTCACCACAGCATGAGGAGCTGGATTAAAGGGTCGCGGCATCAGGAAGGTTGAGAACCACTGATCTAGAAGATCCTGCTCCTTGCCTCACCCAGCCTCTAGGAACTGCGGGCACTCCTGGGCACGTGGCCGCAGCACTCCTGTCAGCCACCCCTGACAGACCTCCTGGTGTGTATGTGACATGCTGTTTCATCAGGGAAGTCGAGATCCATCGCCTAGCTGGTCTTCCTCTTTCCCTGCTGCCTTCTATTTTTTTCCAGCATGATTATTCTTTCCCAAGAACCCTGCTTCTCAGGATGTGCCCGAAATAGGAGAGCTTCCGTCCTGCCATTTTTGCCTCCAGCGATGGTTCAGGCTTCATTTGCTCTGCAATCCACTTGTTTGTCTTCTGGTGATCAAGGGTATCTGTGGAGCTCTTCTCCAGCAGCACGTTCCCCATGAGTCTCCTTGTTTCCATCGCCTTATCACTGTGATATGGAAGTGTATGTAGATATGCACATGTCCCCTGCAGCTCACAGCTAAAGAGAGGTAGACACACGCACACAGTATGTATCTCCATGTTTTTCTTCCACTAAAACTCAGGTTTAATTGTAAAAATGGAAAGCGTGTTGTCAGTGGTTGAGTGTTGACCCATGAACCATGAGGCCAGGGTTTGATTCCCAGTCAAGGCACATGCCCGGGTTGTGGGCCCGATCTCCAGTGGAGGATGTGCAGGAGGCAGCTGATGGATGTGTCTCTCTCATCATTGATATTTCTCTTTCTACCTCTCCCTTCCCCTCTCTGAAGTCAATAAAAATATATTTTTAAAACCAAGAAAAAGAAAGGCACGATTCCTTTTTTTTTTTTTTTTTAAAGAAAAAGCATTGGTCAAAAATAACACCCAACACTTTCCATAGCACTCGTCATGTTTCTGAGTCTTCCAGGTGCTTTACAGACCACATTCACCAACGTAATCCCCAGAACAACCCCACAGGCGGCCCTATTATCCCCCTTCACTGCTGAGACACAGGGCTTCTACCCAAACATGGCAGACGCTGAGATGACCACACGTTCTCTGTCCATCGGACCCCCTTCGTCTCCTCCCGCTGCCCGGCGACATCCGCCATGTGATGTCATTGGACTTGGGGAGCTGTGGACGAGAAAGCTGAAGGCGTGCAGTCCGGTGACTGGAGTCCCAAAGACACAGGCCAAGCGGAGCTCCTGAACTGTCGTGCTCTGGAATTAGGCGCCCCCGAGGGAAGGCTGACTATTTTTAGAAGGAGGGCAGTAGAGTCTTTTGGAAATAGGCCCGAAGACGGTCATAATTGGGCAAGGGACATGGGGCGCTCCAATTCGGCCGAGGGATTTTTTAGAAAGGCCGTTCCACCAGGTCATTCCTCTGCGTAAGACTCTTCAACTCGGGAAGGAACCGACGTGTCAGCAGGGGGCCAAGTCCCCTCTCAAGTTCATCGATGTCTCTAGGAGGAGGCCTTCCTCACCGTCTCACTCCCTTCCCGCAACCCTTTGCATAGGTTTTTATTGATTTCCGAGAGGAACGGACAGGGAGAGAGAGAAATATCAATGAAAGAGAGAATCATTGCTCGGCTGCCTCCTGCACGCTCCTCACCGGGGATGGAGCCCACAACCCAGGCCTGTGCTCTGACTGGGAATTGAACCATGACCTTCTGGTTCATAGGTCGATGCTCAAATGCTGAGCCACACGAGTTTCCCCCATCCCACCACCCCTTCCTTGGGTCTCATGGACATGCCTGCTGTTTCCTGAATGGTCCCTGCTTTTTTTTTTTTTTTTTTTAATATTTTTTTTTTTATTGATTTCTTACAGAGAGGAAGGGAGAGGGTTAGAGAGTTAGAAACATCAGTGAGAGAGAAACATCGATCGGCTGCCTCCAGCACACCCCCTACCGGGGATGTGCCCGCAACCAAGGTACATGCCCTTGACCGGAATCGAACCTGGGACCTTCCAGTCTGCAGGCTGACGCTCTATCCACTGAGCCAAACTGGTTTCGAGTGGTCCCTGCTT